TGAAAAAGAGTCTGTGCCATATGGCAACCCCAGTAAGGGATGGAGAGCACACAGATGAGCCTTAGCTGGAAATATTGTGATATATTTATTTTATTATTTTATCAGAAATTTCATTTTTGAAAAGATCTATAATTAATCTAATTTTATACTTTAGATGAAGAAATTTAGAATGGTCTTACGTCTTTCCAGTTGCCACTGAGTTCACTAGTTCTCTGACTTTATCAGTTGACAGAGAAATTTGATGCTTCATTTTCTTTGGAACTACTAATATTTATATTTCAGTTTCATGGAAATCTATCTCTACTTATTATTTTATATTTTAATCACTATTTCACTTATAAATTTAGAGATTAGCTATAGTCCTTTGTGAACATTCTTAATTCCTTCTGCTCTACTTTGGTGTCTGCCCTCTGAAGAGCAGTTTATTAGGCACTGATGATATTTATAAAGGAAGAGAAATGACTATTGCCTTTATCAAATCTATTCTTTTCAGGGATAGTTTTAAAATTACAAAATACACATATAAATCCAAGTTAATGAAATATGAAAGGTTGTGTGTGGGAATGTATATTTTTAGAGGTTTTAAGCATTCTAGGTAAAACAATAGATAGTTGGTAGACTGGTCTGTGATGGCTAAATGTGACCTAATGTGGAAATGGTCATTGTATTTGAAGGAAGCAGAGGGATTAATAGTCTGTCTGAAGTAAAGGTACATGTAGAGAAGTGTTTATAGATAGGATGTTAGGGCTAAACTGTAGAGGGACTGATAAACTGTGCTGTGACATTTGAACAATGAGAACAGAACAGGTCATGCAGATGCACTGAGAAAGGTTTTTGGTTTTCCAGTTTATAGCTTATGTTAGATAAAGGCTTTCCTAGAAAGTGAAAGGAGAAAAGGTCTATTGTGACCTTGACAGAAGTCCTCATAGAAAGATTTTAAATGGAAACAATATTCCCAAAGCAATTGTGAAGCTAGATACTCTACAGGATAGTAAGTATGATTTAAAAAAAGGAAGGTTTATGGAAGAGGATACTCAGAAATTCTCAGGAGGATATAGTATAGAACAGGGTTGGGGATGCTATTTGTATTCTTAGAAATTTATATATCAGTATTAGATGTGCAGGTAATAACCAGAGTAAGTCTCAGATTCTTACAATGAAATGAAAATGAGCTCAGGTATATTTTGCCCAAACTTAGTGGAATAGAATGATATGCCTTGATCTATCACTAGTGAGAGAATGCCAGAGAACACTTTATGGTAATTTGTAAAACTAAGAAAGGAAGCCTAATGTGTATGATTCTCTTAATAAAATTCAACAATTAATTGATTCAGAGTGTAGGCATTTTCAACTAGAGAAATGATCAATTGAACTTCTGTTACAAGAATATTGACCTGGTTACATAGCTTAAAATGAGGGATGGGCTAGAGACAGAGATGTAGCTAGATGCTTAATTTAACTACAAGTATAGAATCTAACCATTGATGTCCCCCAAAAGGTATGGTAATTGCAGACTATCAATTAAGCTCATCAATATTATTAATAACAATGCTGAGAATGGAGCAGGTGAGGAATGATAAGGGTGAAATTGTTTTGAATGAACACCATTTAGTTCCTTGTATTGCTCTGCTATACTTAAAACTGCTATAAGTTCTGGAAACCAGAGTTGAGACATTGACTACCTGAATATGTCTCAAAGAAGCTGAACAAGATGACCAAATAATTCAGAATCATTTCATTAGAAATGCATGCTATCTTTGTTGCCCTTAATGCAGAGAAACTAAAGCAGATACCTTAAAGCAACTGAGGCCAATAGGAAAAGGAGACCAGGAACTAGAGAAAAGGTTAGATCAAAAAGAATTAACCTAGAAGGTAACACCCACGCACAGGAAATCAATGTGAGTCAATGCCCTGTATAGCTATCCTTATCTCAACCAGCAAAACCCCTTGTTCCTTCCTATTATTGCTTATACTCTCTCTACAACAAAATTAGAGATAAGGGCAAAATAGTTTCTGCTGGGTATTGAGGGGGGGAGCGGGAGGGGGTGGAGTGGGTGGTAAGGGAGGGGGTGGGGGCAGGGGGGAGAAATGAACCAAGCCTTGTATGCACATATGAATAATAAAAGAAAAATGAAAAAAAAAATAAAGACAAGTAAAAATGAAAAAAAAGAAATGCATGCTATCTTTAGTTTCCAAATGGATAAACTCAGTGGAAATGTAATTATTCTAGCACACAAATGTGATTATTCTAGCTTTTAAAAATAGGAAATTTTCTTCTCTGCAAGAAAAATTTTGTGTGTGTGTGTGTGTGTGTGTGTATGAGTGTGTATGTGTGTGGTTGCTGTGTTTCCAGATGGTAGGACCAGGAGTAAAAAGTGGAAACTATAAGAAAGAAGTTTTGGTTTCAATTGGGGAAAAGCTTTCAGATGATGAGTTCCTTGCCAGTAGAATGAATTATTTTGTGAGGTAATGAATTTCTTTATTGTAGCAGTCCAAACATAATTGGGCTACAACATGCTGGGATCTTATTCAGAATATTGAAGTTTTGGTTTTGTGTGCCTTGGAGGATCTGGAAAATGTTGCACTCAATTCTTTTAAGCTCCAGAGAATCCTGAGTTCATGGTGGGAATGGAATAGAATGAATCCTTTCTTCTTTCCTTGTCCTTCCTCTCTGTTGTCTATCCCCTTCCTTCCTTCTCTCCTCCTTTTTTCCCTTCCCTTTTCCATCTCTCTCATTTTCTCTTTTTATCTTTCCTATTTTCCTTCTGATTTACTTCCTTGAAAGTCTAATTTATGTCAGATATTCTACTATGTACTAGGAATGCAATGAGAAGTGAAGCAGACATAAAGACTGCTCCCATGGAATTTACAGTTATTTGGAGCTAGATAAAATTACTAACTCCAGAAAATGCTGGGAAAGAATAATAGGGAATCTGTGTGTGCGAAGGGGACCTTAGTTTCTTAGGGATGGTTGAGAAAGAGAGAGAGAGAGAGACAGAGAGACAGAGAGATTAAAGAAAGTATTGTAGATAAAAATGATTTGGTGAAGTCATTTAGAAGTGATAAAGAGATTATGGATTATGCCAACATTTTGAGGCTGTAACTAAAAAGAGTGACCTACAGGAAACAAGGAAGCTGAGAAAGAGAGTTTGTTTTTAAATGAAGATGGTTGGGTTGGTTTTGACCTTGCTGACAGATCTGGTTTTCATAGCTTGTTTTGGACATGAAGGCTGACAATGACGTGAAGTGCTTCCTTTTTGAATAAAGAAATGTACCTACAGCTTGAAAGTCTTATATTTGTTTGTTTTGTTTGACTCTCTTATTATTTTAAGTCTTAGTCCTTCGCAGTTGTTCACTTCTGGGTTAACTATGAAAAAGTCACAAATTTTTGTCTTTCAATTTTACTATGACCTAGAATTTCATGTTTATTGATAGAATAAAACTGAATTAAATAAAAGGATTAAATAGAAATAATGACAGTTATTATAGCATTTGAGAAGATATTCAGTCAAATTCAATTTTTGTCCAGTTATAGTCATGTACTTGTACTGCCTATCTGTGCATTCTTTCCTGAGGCTTAAATCTAAACTGAAATTTGAATGAAAAAATATATATACAGAAAATTATGGGCCAACTCTCCAGACATTATCAATAACATTAAAATTGTAAAACCCTTTCATTGTGGAAAATTTCAAGCATTTACAAAGAGACAGACTTATAGGTGAATCCCCATGTTCTCATCACTCAGCTTCAAAGATTCTCTACTTAATGTCAGTCTTATCTCATCCATACCTCCATCCATATTCCCATCTATTTTGATGAAAATATCAGAATCGTGCCATCTTATCTAGAAATATTTGTGTATACCTTTAAAAGATTATCAGTCTTTTAAAAACACAGCCCTGAAAATAGTAATATAATAATTAGTAATAATAAGTCCTGATGAATTTAAAGTGGTACCTCATTTTCAAATCAATATTGGCTTAAACCTTTATAAATTTAATAAAATAATTGAAATAACTGACATTTGATGAAGTGAAGTAGAGTTCTAGTTCAGATTTTCCTCTTAGTATAGAGTCTTGGATATGTACCTGAAGCCATTGGCTTCAGGTCAGATATTTTCAGTCTTAATGAGGTATAAGTCCCATATCCAGAATCAGAAAAGGTAATTTCAAATTAGGCTTTAGGCTCCATTCTTTTCACATGAAGAATATGTAAGATTTCATGAATAGTGAGTTAAAGGAATGGAATATTGACAGAAGAGTTGATTGTGATAAAGGTAGCTTCATACAACAATTTATATTCCCCTGGTTCTATGAATAAGATTGGCTCAGTCAGGAAAGTCTCACTGAAAATCTTATAGGATTTCAAACAAGCATCAGTAGAGCTGGAGCCATCTGAAAGCTTGATTGTCTAATGTCTAAGATCCATTCTCTTACACACCTGACTAATTAGCTAGGGGCTAGCCAGTGTCTCTCTGTCACCATCCTGCTTTCCACAAGATTATCATGAGCTTCCATACAGTTTGATGGTCTCAGGGTAGACTTCTGACAGTATCCTTTCCCTAGAGTAAGGGCTCCAGTAGTGTCAAGGGAGACTGAAAAGCCTCTTTAGACTTAGCTTCAGAAGTCATGTGGTGCTGGTGGAGTGGCTCAAACAGTAAGAGTGTCTGTCTAGCAAGTGTGAGGCCCTGAGTTCAAACCCCAGTACTGCAAAAAAAAAAAAAAAAGTCATGTGGTGCCACTTGTACCTCATTCTCTGGTTGAAATCTAGGAGTGTGAATGTAGTGGAATACCGCCCACCCCCCATTAAAAGAAAGCTAGTTAGTGGCAAGCCCAGATTCAAAGGGAGGGGCACAACTATTAGAAGGCAAGGTACTTAGAGGGACATCTATGAAGTTATCACAATATTTTGGTAACCTAATTATTTCTTTACTTTCTTACTATCTCTTTCCTGTGCCATGGAAAATTTACATTTTATTTATTTATTTTTTGGCACAGGTTATCAAGGATCCTCCTCCACCACCACCTCCTGTACCAAAAGAGGTAAATGAGTACTCAGTATGAGTGTTTTTCCCTCATTTGGTGAGGTATCATCACCAAATTTGTTCAATTTTATTTGTTGTTAAAAATTATGATCCTGAGTTTTGATATTTTACTTTATGAAAATCAGTTGTTATTTTTTATCTCATGGTTTCTTTCATCTGCTAGAAGAATGGCCCTCCATACATTGGTAGATTGGCCATCAGGAGCAACAGTACATAGAGATTCAATATACTTTTTAAGGCAACATAATAATTGTCTTGATGTCACTTCTTTTCTTTATAAAAAGTTGAAAGATCCAAAATGTTAATTTAAAGATGTTATTACTTTCTTCAAATTGATTATTTCTTTTGCATTACTCTGTTAGGCAAAATCCTATTAGTAACATAAAATAAAGGACTTAGTGATATTGTGACTTTTCAAAGCTTTTCAATTGTTTATCTTTTTACTACAAATTTCACAGAGTTCAAACTTACATATACATTGTAATGTAAATACATGTACATTATATATACATTGCTTTAAAATGATTGTTAAAATGCTTTATCTTTTTAAGTATGAAACAAAGAACAGATTTGGAATAAATAAATGATGCTCATAGTTAAAGAGAAACTTCTAGTAACTTAAGGGTGATGTAGAGATATACTAAGATCTGAGGAAGGAAAGGAGTCCTCATACCTTTTAGAATTTCATTTGAAGTTCATTTATCTGTCTATGTATGTAACATACACCCATATATACTACATATAATTTTTACGTTTTTTGATAATGTATATGGCATTATTAAAAATGTTCATGTGTGAACCAGCACTGTAAACAATATATATATGTGCATATAGATATGCACACATATAATATATGTGTATATATATATAGGGGAGCTGGGGTTCAAAGTCAGGGTATCATGCTTGCAAAGCAGGAGCTCTACCACTTGAGCTATACTTCTAAAGCTAAACAGTATTCTAAGAAATTAGTTAAACCCATTAAAAATTGTATCTCCATAGGAAGGAAGAAGAACCTCAACCCACCAAGAAATGGCCAACTGTGGATGCTTCCTATTATGGTGGTCGAGGGGTTGGAGGAATTAAAAGAATGGAGGTTAGTATCTTAAAAAAATAGAAGTTGCTAATCTGAAATATTTATTAGGTTTATAAATCGTGGAAATTGTGACTTTCACACCTCAACATCACAATATAATCCATTTTTACTTAACACTGGGTCTTTTCTGGATGCATTTCTTTTCTATGAGATCATCCTAGCCATTTCAAAACTGTCAAGAAGAACTGGTTTCATTAGTCAAAGATTTATTTATAAGATCTCTGAAATCTAAAGGACAAGAGCACCAAGGCTCTTTCTTACTATTTTGGAAAAAATTACTGCATGGAGCATCAACTTTGAAAGAGCCAGCCATTTGAAATTGCAACAATGCTCTTCTTTGAAAAGATCCAATAGTTATGTACTATTTGAGGAGAAAATGTTAAAATATTCAGAGGAATGGATATGGCTTTATCACAAATATACAGGAAGCACATTGGAAACTTATAAGAGCTTTTAGTTACTACTTATAAACTATCCTAATTAATATTACATAGAATTTATAGAATGTGTGAAGTTTCAGACTATTTCAAAGTGTGGATTAAAATTGAACTTAATATTAGAAAACATGTGGCCTTTTGTTTTCTGACCTGGCTAACTTCACTTAAGATGATGTTCTCCGGTTACATCCATGTATCTGCAAATGACAAAATTTCATTCTTCTTTGTGGTTGAATAAAATTCCATTGTGTATAAATAACACATTTTCTTGATCCTTTCATCAATAGTGGGGCATCTTGGCTGTTTCCATAGCTTAGATATTGTGAATAATGCTGCAGTAAACATGAGTGTGCAAGTGCCCTTATTGTAATCTGACTTATATTTCTTTGGGTATATCCCTAGGAGTGGTATTGCTGGATCATATGGCAGTTCTATTTTTAGTTTTTTAAGGGCCTCCATACTTTTTTTCCATAGTTGTTGTATTAATTCATGTTTCTACCAGCAGTGTATGAGTGTTCCCTTTTCTCCACGTCCTTGCCAACATTTGTAATTGTTTTGTGTTCTTATATTGCCTACTCATCCTTTTCAGTTGAAGAAAATTTGTGAAAAGGATTTAGACAACATTTAGTGAATGTAGGTTCACTTTAGTTATAGATAACTTGACCAGATTGTAGGGAGTAGTCCATTAATGAAATAAAGATAGGAATAAAAATGAGTAAAGGGAAAAAAAGGCAAATGCAGATGCTGCAAAGGGGAAATAAAATATACAAAACTACACAATAAAAACTGAACTGAGAATTAAAGGTCATTAAACTTTCTTAAACATGAAATTAAACTTGGAGAGGGAAAAATGAAAACATAATATTTTGCCTTAAAGCATATCTTCTCAAACCTACAAAATACTTGCCTTTACAAATACTTTCAACTGGGAAAATAAAATGAATTACAGAAATTATGAGATCTCTGAATTCCAGAGCAAATCTTCATGAGGTAATTTTAAGCCAGGATACAGATTTTATCTACAATTTTTTCCTATCTTACTCCTTTAAATTAAATATTTATTTAAGCACCATGGTAATGGGAATTTGCAAAAAGCTGGAACTGAGCTGATGTTAATAACAGCTGTTAGCACAACGGATCCTCTATACCTAATGTCTTTATATACTTGCTTCTGCCAATTCCTGTGAAACTGTTGTTTCTGGATTCTGAAATTGCTTGTATACAATATAAATTCCTAGTCATCCAAATATGATCTAGAAATTATGAATCACATTGTTTATAAAGAAAGCCAAGTGGGGTTGGAAGAATTTAGCTATCAAGTTTGCTCTTACTATTTTTTTTCATAACAAATTTTAGGTATTTTAATTCTGCTAAGGCTTCCTTTAGTAATCTATTCTTGTTACTGTTTCTTCCTTTTAAACCATCTCAGTGTGGTCAAACTAAAATATTAAAATTTACATATATACATATGTATATAAATAGTTAATTGCTTTTAAGAGTTGTAGGAAACTTCTACAAAGTATTTTCTAGTTTTAGACTATGAGATTAAGTGAGAATTGCTTGTGGTATAGTTTGTGCTAACGGTGATGATGAACTAAAAGCTAATGAATCTGTTTAACTCCTCTTGTTAGACCTCAGCAACAGTATTTCATAAGTAGAGTCCCTTTATAGACTCAAAAATGCCACACTGGATCAGAACACTAGCTCAACTAGCTTCAAAGCTATTTTTTTTATCTTTTTCAGTAATACTTGAAATATGAATCTGAATATGACCTCTATGATATCAACTGTGAAAGACAGGCTAGGGAACTATGCATGTTAAAATCTATCATTTCTGAATGGGTCTACATTTTACCTACTTACATTTCTACTCTGAATTACTTCCCTGATGTATGATATTCACATGTTTATTGAATTATGTATCTGCTTTTTTTTTTTCCTTAATATTGAGACTTTATAACTGCAAGGAATATGTCCTGGTTTTGGAGTTTTTAATTCAATTTAGCTATGTCTAAAGACTTTATAAGTGTTAGTTTACCTAAGGGAAGACACTGTGATTTGAAAGAGAAGGTCATTTCTCTGGAAAGAAAGGCAACTACCAAGCTCTAAAGGTTTAACAGTGTTTAAAACAATTTTAACAACGTCATAAAGAACATTCTAGTACCATTGATCACACTGGAAGATACAGATACATTTTAATGACTCAGCAGGGTCTACTTGAAATTGAAAGCCCATTCTAAAATTGTAGTAAAAATAAGGTAGAAATATCCAAGTAAGCCTTATCAAAAAGCTGTGGAAAGTTCTTTCTGTGGAGGATACTTATCTATATCCCTGCCCACCAATTCAGGTCATTAAAATGCTTACAAGGCTTTAATTTTTTTCCTTTATAGGAATCACTTAACCGTGGTGTGTCTTAGTGTACCTGGGAGGTCATTTTTACATTTCTTCACAGAGCTGCACCTGTCTTAGCTCTGTTGGCTTGACTGGACAAAGCCTTTGGCTTAATCCAGCTCTTAATTTCTGTTTGCCGAAAAATAAAGAAAACAATTCAGTCCTGTGGTTTGTCAATGTCAAAAGTTTCCAGAGAAGGAAATTTCTGAAAATTTATGGAATTCCCTGGTGTCTCAGAAAATTTTCTCTTCAAAGCAGAGTCTTTTCCAATTTGTCTTCCTGAATGAAGAATTCACTTATCAAATAACCATACTCAGATATGCACAAATATTAAAGATTGAATACTACTTTGCCAAGTCATATGTTAATACACTAATTTCATATATAATTATTTTTACTTCCAAAAGGTAAATATTTAGTTAATACTTTTTGCCTTAAACTTGATGAAAAATTTGAGGGAGCAAGTCCTTTGTGTAAAATAAATTTGTAAAATTCAAACTGATTTTAAACTTATTAACACATTTTAAAGTGCCTATGTTCAAATGACTACCTGTGTGACTTTGGGCACATCTCTTTTTGTGGTACTGGGATTTGAACTCAGGGCTTCTTACTTGCTAGACTGGTGTTCTACCACTTGAGCCACACCTCTAGCCCTGTATATTTTAGTTATTTTTTTCATATAGGATAGCGTGTGTTTGTCTGGGGCAGGCCTCAGAGCATGTTCTTTCTACTTATGCCCCCCACATAGCCAGGATTACAAGCACATCCCATTTCTTGTTGAGATGGAGTCTTGCTAACTTTTTGTCTGGGCTGTCCTTGAACTGTAATCCTGCCAATCTCTGTCTCCTTAGTAGCTGGAATTACAGAAGTGAGCCACTCTCCCTTGTCATTGGGCACATCTCTTAACCTGTCTGTACCTGTCTTTCCCCCATTTGAAAGGAAAAAATATAGTATCTATTTCATTGAATTTTTGTATGCATTAAATACAGATGGATATGTAGAAATCATTCAATAAATGTTAGCTATCATCATTATCATCTAACATACATAATTATAGAATGGAGCTACATTGTGTCAGGCATTCCTATGTAAACCACAGATTGACTTCTTATTTGAAACCATGGAGAAATGATTGTGTAAAATTGAACTGACTTCAGATATTTATAGCTTTTTGCTCTAGGATTTTAATACAAAATATAATAAGGACTAGTAGCCACCTATTAAATTTCAGGAGAGAAAGTATTAGGAGTTAGTCTACCTACTCATCTTCTTAGTCAGTGAATCCAAGGACTGTAGAGTCCTTAGAACTTGCTCCTCTAGGACACTTGTGTCAGATGACATTGTCCCCTGCATCTTGAAGGTTCGCTGGGGTGATAAAGGATCTACTGAGGAAGGAGCAAGGCTAGAGAAAGCCAAAAATGCCGTGGTGATAGTTCCCGAAGAAGAAGAGGAACCCATCAGGCCCAAGCCACCTCGACCCAAACCCACATACCAGCCTTCTCAGACCAAGTGGTACACACCAATTAAGGTACATGTCCAATTCTTTTGATATTTAGGAAATACTTTATTAGTTTTAGTAATTAAACATGTAGACAAGGCTTTACATATCTAATATAGTGCATTACTCCTTACAAGTGGGAAAAATTAAGTTCATTATTTCAAGACAAATATGGCTATTAATTTCTGTACCATGCCAACTCCACTCAGTAAACTGGTATACATTTTCCCAAACTTGACAGTACAACTAATGTCTCCAAAGATTCAGATTAATAAAAAATCTATAATAACATCAGCTTTTTCAGGTTCAGCAGTCATCTGAACAAAATTATAGAAACACACTCCATTAACAAACAAAAAAAAGTAAAAAACAGAAAAGAGCAAAGTTCTGTTACTATTGTGTTATCTGGTGCCTCTTTTTTTTTTTTTTACCATTTTCTCAATCACTATCTGGAAAGAAAATATTCTAAAATAGCGTCATTACAGACAGCTCTGATAAAACTTAGTCGGTACTAAGTATCATAAAGTGGATGGAAGATACTTTATAGTCACAGAGGCATGGCACAGTACTATCCTCCATCTATTATAATAAAGGATATGTTTCCAAACTTTAAAAAAAAAATGGAACTTAAACCTCCGAAAGAAATTGCAAGCTTTTATATTCCCTTGTCTCCAGCTCCCCAAATTTGAAAGGAGTCTAAGATAGATAAATAAGAGAAATTCATTTTATGGTCTACCAACTAAACCCTTTCTTAGCATAAGACTCTCCCAGTTTTTACCTATTTGTTTAATTTATGAAAGAAATGAAGCATCAAATAACTCTTTCCTGCCTTTATTTTCCTTCTTTGGTGAGTAGAGGTTGAGTACATTCCTGAGGAATTCATGAATCCCGTTTCCCTCTAGGGTCGTCTGGATGCGCTCTGGGCCCTGCTGTGCAGGCAGTATGACCGGGTATCCTTGATGCGGCCTCAGGAAGGAGACGAGGTTTGTTTATGGGGCTAGGGTGGGGAAAAAGCTGACTCCTGGGGCAAATGCCATTACAAAATGTCTAATGAATTGTTTAGCACTAGAATGAATGTTCAAGTCACAGTTCTGTACCAGGCCCTTTTCAAGTAACTAATTAAAAAGATGTTAACCTACTCAAATACGCACATTCACTACCTCACCCTTTCACTTTGCAGACATATGTTCAGACTTTTTATCTGGTGGGGACAACACACTGGCAGTTAGTAGCTGAAGTCTTTCTTCTAGCATTTAATAGCAATGAGACCTTAGAACCACAGTTTCTTTAGGTATAAATTTAGACCCTGTCTTCAACACTTGGTGTATCAATCTAGTTTCTTGAAATTATGAAGGAGTTTTTAAAGTTATAAAATACTGTATAAATCTGTGATGGTGATATGTTGATATATACACGTTTTTGCATTTTTCCTCACCAAAGGAGTCTATCTAAGGTTCTTATATTTTGGGATGCTGGCTACAATTATTCTAGTTTTATAATGTCTTTAATAAATTACAGTTTCCTAGCTAATCAATGTAAGAAAAACTGTTCATAACCATTTCATAAGTAAAAATAGGCAGGTGTGGTTCAGAGACACACTGTTCTTAATACTAGACTGGTTTCATTGTATGTCAATGTGATCCTTCTTCATCTTATTATTTTCTTGGTAGTACTGGCATTTGAACTCAGGCTCCCGCATTTGTTAGCCTTGTGCTCTGCTACTTGAGCTACACCTCCTGCCCTTTTTTTGTTTTAGTTATTTTTCAGAAAGACTCTCATGTTTTTTCTCAGGCTGGCCTCTGACTGCAGTCCTCCTACCTATACCTCTGCATAACTAGGATAACAGAGGTGCACGACCATACCCAGCTTGCTTGAGATAGGATCTCACCAACTTTTTGCCCAGACTAACCTAGAACCTGATCCTTCTACCTCTGCCTCTCACATAGCTGGTTTATTCTGTTTTGACAAAGGAATGAACTTCATGAACTTCATCTTCGGAGGTCGTTAGATACTTTTTAAAGTCTAAAATATTTGGTGAGATTATACTTATCTTATAGTGGCAAGGTAAGTCGGAGGTCGTTAGATACTTTTTAAAGTCTAAAATATTTGGTGAGATTATACTTATCTTATAGTGGCAAGGTAAGTTGTATTTCATGCTATAAGATTTTAGTTTGGTGTTTTAAATACAAAAGGACCTAAATTTTAACCTTTTACTTCTTTCAAACTGGGAAAATTAAAAAAAAAATCTGAATTCCACCATTTAGGAAATACAATTTGAGAAAATATCCCCAGAAAATTTCTAGCAGAACATCCTTTACCTGTTTCTAGGACCACTGATAGAGAGAACTAGTTGGTTTATGAAGCAACCTTCTTCTTTCATTATCAGATCAGTGCGATTCTTAATAGAAACTTCATGAACTTCATCTCGGAGGTCGTTAGATACTTTTTAAAGTTAAAATTTTGGTGAGATTATACTTATCTTATAGTGGCAAGGTAAGTGTATTTATGCTATAAGATTTAGTTTGGTGTTTTAAATACAAAGGACTCTAAATTTTTTAACCTTTTACTTCTTTCCAACTGGGAAAATAAAAAAAATCTGAATTCCACCATTTAGGAAATACAATTTTGAGAAAATTCCCCAGAAAATTTCTAGCAGAAATCTTTACCTGTTTCTAGGACAACTGATAGAGAGAACTAGTTGGTTTATGAAGCAACCTTCTTCTTTCATTATCAGATCAGTGCGATTCTTAATAGAAAGCTCTTTTATAATCAAACTCACACCTCTGTTTAATTCATGTGAATTTCAAGCTCTTCTGGAGTCCTGTATAACTCTTCTTCCTCTTAAACATGCTAGACTTTCACCTTTGTGAAAATAATTTCTTTCCCTCCAGGTAAGATATTAAATCATTTGTTTAGTAATGTTCATCTTACTAAGTGCTGGGCATCAAACTAGCACTGAAGATGTATTAGCTGAGGGTGAGGAAGATTGGTTCCTATTCTCTTGCTTTATATGTTCTTTTAACTATTATGACAAAAATGTAGCTTTTAGTCTTTCATCATTTGTACTGAGCTTTGAAATGGGTAGAAAGTCAACAAATGGAGCTGGTAGGAGGAGCATAGATGAGGTGTCATGAGCAAGGTCACCGAGGCAGCCAAGAAGACAGCGATTCACAGATCACTAAGTAATCTGGGGGCAGGGGTTAAAATCAGAGAAATTATTTGGAAATAGAAAAGAAGAAATTTTTGAATTTGGATAAATTGGTATATTTGCTTTTGAAAATGATGCATTATAATCATTCATTCATCCACTCCTTCATTCAAAAAATATTTACCCAGTGCCTAATACCTACCAGTCACTTTGTTAGATGCCAGGTAAATTTGACATTCTCTTTAAATTATACTGCTAGAATATTCCGCATTTTGCCCCAGTGAATTAAATTGTCATTTATTTTTCCATGGTTGAAGAATAATGTTTCTGGATCCATTATTTTGACCAATGTGTCTTTATTTTTTGGTAATTTGGTCACACTTTTGGCTAAGATAAGACTTAAGACTTATTCTTAAGTCTTGAGGTCAGGTTGTTTCAGAACTCTGAATTTTTCAGATTTTGAAGAGTTTCATATATATATATATACATGTATTATATATATATATATATGTTATATAAAGCAGCATTTCCTAATAACATTATTTAGACATTTTGCTATTATATATTAACATTAATATGTTAATTATTATCAGTAGAGACTAAAATGGTCTCAAGTTAGTTCTGTGTAGGTTTTGCTTCCAGTTGTATTTTGGTGACAAACTTGGGACAAAACTTTTAGTTTTCAAAAGATTGAGGGTTTCAGATTTCAGTTGCCCTATTTTTATCTTGATGAACATAGTAAATAATCTTTGTTGACAAAGGTAACCATGTGACTTTGATACTTGTCCCAAAAAGAACCTGCACCAATCATAGGACACTTAATCACAGTAAATATTTCTATGAATTTCATTTAAAAGTCTCAACAATAGCTGAAATACAGTGAACATTATTGTCAAAAATAATATTTAATTATGGGTTTAAATAAAATCATATTTGTATGGCAAAGTGACATGATCTACACTGACACCAAATATCCCACAGATTTTATTTCTATTTTATAAAAAAGCATGTAATATTTATAAAATTACAGTCTTTTTTAGCTTTTATTTGGGGAACATAAAGTAAATTAACTCAAAAGAAAATGATAACCCAGAGGCAGGAAGAGTATCAGGGATTTAAATGTGTATTTGGCCCTGCCAATTTTAATGCACGATAGTAAAATATGAGAGTCCACTTTGCTCATGCTTTATCTGTGGGAGAAGAGCATGGCTTACCATGGCCTTCTGCTTATTCTGGGTAATTAGTTAAGCCCTCAAAAAAATGACATGGTTTATCTCATAGGACTGCAAAATAAGGAAAATTAAAAGGTAGGATACTAAAATGTCCAAGTGGTAGTATTGTCCATCGATATATTTTCAGGAAAAAGGGAAAAATGAATTACCCTCAAAGTGCGTGCGTGTGTGTGTGTGTGTGTGTGTGTGTGTGTGTGTGTATGAGATTTAAGGTACATTAGGGCATAATATTGAGTGAGAAAAATTAGTTTTGAGGTTCTTTTGTTTGTTTAGATAACTATGTTCACTCTGTAATACAAGGAAGGGTTTTTTCTTTCCTTCTTTTTTTTTTTTTTTTGAACTCAGGGCCTCAGGTTTGCTAGGCAGGTGCTCTACCACTACCCTTGAACCACTCTGCCAGCTCAAGCTCACTTCTTTTTAATAGAAATGTATCAACATAAATTGGTGACTAGATTTGGCTAATAATTTTATTTTTGTTTCCTGTGCTCATCAAGGTTTTTGTATGTTTGTACATATGTCATATTTACATTGGATCATGCTTCTTATGAGGTGTTTGCATTGGGATAGGAGTTGTGTGTGTGATTATAAAGCAAGTCCTACTTTGTAAAAATGAACACTTGGACACTTTCTAGTTGTTAGAAATGAATGCAGTTAGCTTTGCATAGTGAAGAAATCAATGACAATACTTTCTCATTTCTAAATATTAAAAGGACTAGTCCCATCCTTTCTTAAAAAAAAAAAAAGGCAAGAAAAACTTTATTAAGTCGCTTGAGCGACAATAAAACACAATTATTTTCTAGTTGTGACTAATGGGTCCAAATACCACCACCTCTGCCTAGTCATTTATTTATAAGTTTATTTATAAGTTGTTTATTTATAAATTGTTTACTGCACATTCCTCCTCTTGAGCGTCTAGTTAATAAGCATATAGGCGTTCACAGAATTAAACCTGGAGTCACGCATCTACTATGGGGTCCCTCCCGCCGGGTGCACGGTGCCTTGCCAGTGCACCGCTCTGCCTGTATGGCGCTGGGCTCCGGGGGGCACGGAAACCACCGCTGAATTGAAGTCCTTGATCAAGTCAGTCAAGTTCAGATACAAAGTATCAAAGCGTCGCGGCAGCAGGGCTGGGAGCCGGGCGGAGGCAGCAGGGTGGCAGGCGGACGCCGGCCCGCGCGGGCTTTGATGGCGAGGCTCCTCCGGGTCCCCAGCGCTGCAGCGCGGAGGCCGCGGGCCTCCAGGTGCGCGCGGGCAGGTTGTCGCCATAGCTGCTGGCAGCGAGCAGCACGATTGTCAGCCACGGTAGTTGAGAGCGGCAGAACCGTTTTGGTCTGGTACTCGCTGCCTGGAGGCCCGAAACACAAAGGTAGGAGTGGGGGTGGACACAGCTGCGCTCCCCAACTTGCCTTAGGCACAAATAAGAGATCTAATGCAGTTTGACTCCATGGCGGCAGGGAGACGAGGACAGAAAGCCACTTCAGAGACAACTTAACGCTGCAACATCTGCCGCCAAGTTTCCAGGGAGTGACAGGGGACAGCAGGTACAGATCGAAGTCTCCACAGAAACAGCCTCCATTAAGCCCTGGACTCTTTTGAAGACCCT